GTCAGATAATAAACATCAGAGAATAGACTGATACAGATTAATTATTCTGAAAGTATTCATTAGAGCAGATATACTCATAATATTGAATTTAACAGTTGTAAAAAGTTTCTTGATATCTGTGAATATCATGACTTTATATATAATAAAACTCATAATAATTTTCTCTAAAAACAGAAAAATCAGTGTCTGAAAGAGAAGAGGAAAAAAGAAAGACTTATAATCTTGACACTGTTAAGAGAGAGAGTGATTCTCTGATATAAATGAATAATTATCTTATTATGAATATTTAAAATAAATATAATAATCAGCATTCATAACTGAGCTTCAGATAGTTGTATCATATATAATCTTTATATAATAAATTATTCTAGAGATCAGTAAGAAGAGTGAGAGTATCTATACTGAGAAATATAATTTATTAAGTCTATATAATATCTTCTTGAAACAGGGAGAGCTAGTAATGAAAACAGAGATAATAGAATCAGAGAGAGCAGAAGCAGCAGAAGTAAGAGTTATAAGAACAGAGATAGCAGAAGCAGAAGAATCAGATACAGAAGCAGATGTAGAAGATTAAGAGAGAGTAGCAGAGAAAGAAACAAAGAGAGTAGAAGAGAATGCAGAAGACTCAGTCATATATAACACAGATAATTTCTTCATTATTATATTCTTCAAGTTCTCAATCAATGATTCAACATTGAGATTACAATCATCAACAGATGCAGATCTGTCAACATGTGAAGATTCTATATAAATTAAAACAAATATATCAGTATCTGCAGTCATGCAAAACAATCAGAAAATATAATCAGAAAAATATAATCAGATACTCACTGAAAAAAAAGAGAATCAGAGATATATAGAGAGATGAAGAAGATATGTTATTCATAGTAGTATATTCTGACAATTGTTAGAAGATAAACAAGTCTCAGTCATATTTCATAACACATTACACTTACTACTAATAAACTGTCTGATATGAGCACTATAATAACACTTGTTGTGAGAATGAGAAGTCATTGTCAGAAACATGTATAATATAATAGATAAACAGATAGAAAGTGTTGAATAGAAGAAAGAGTAGAAATCTTGAATAAGATGATAATGTTTGATGATGATGATAATGAAGAAGATAATGAAAGAATGAAAAAAGTTAGTAAATAAGTGATATAATATAGTGAAAGTTTCTTTATGAGAGTATACACAGAATACTAGCTGAATCAGAAATAGGTCACACAATTGTGAACACTAGTAGTATGCTAATTCACATGAAGCTAGGGTGTACATCATAGTCACATGAGCGTGACTGAATCTGATGAGGGAGCATGTGGTTCAGAAGAACGTATGACCGCCGGATAATAACGCGGCCGCTTCCGAACACACTTCCGAACACGCTTACGAATGTAAAGGGGCCATAGCGGCCACCAATTAATTAGCGTACAGTATATAAGAAGCCGGCGTACGCCTGTAATCGTACGCTGGCTTAAGTAACCTTTGAATCACATAGCTGATCATGTGAGAATACAGAGTTTCTGAGATTAACATCAACTGTAGAAAGAGACTGTCTCTGAGACTTATTAATTATCATTGCAAAGCATGAACAGACTGAAAACTGATAGCAAGTTATGTCAAATGAAATCTCAACAGATTGAGTATGTAGATTGATCTGTGACAGTATATGAACTGAACTCTTATACATACTGAATATAATCTTTATCTTAAGTAAATGAGTTATCATTCAGTGAATAATTATTCTTATATCATTGCAGAGCCCTTCAGACAGTCAGAGATTATACAGAAGTATAATAGAAGTACTCACTTTCAATCTTAATATAAATGATGACAGAGCTGAACAGTTAATGATAATCAGATATTTACAGAAGAACTTCTCATAGCTCAGAATCAGATCATTCATATAAGTTATATCTACAGTATAAAATATATAAATATTATCTAACATAACTGTCATAACCTGTTCATTAATATGAAATGTATTCTGATTTAATACAGTGAGAATGACATAGCTTTTAAAGTAATCAGAGCAGACTGCTGCAGTTCTAAGTTCAGCTGTAGAAAACACTCTCTTACACAGCACACTAATATCAGCAGTCTGATGAATATAGAATGAAAGATTAACATGATTAATACAGTCTGAATTATATAACATTTGATTAAGTTAATTCATAAATATTATATTGTCATCATCTGCAGCCAGTCTTATATTTCTTCTTAAGTACAGTACAGTTAACTGCTGCTATATATATAAATACTGCAGACAAGCTGCAACAACTGCAGCATGACTGTCACATGATATAACAGACAGAGTCTGTGTAAAATCATTATTAAATATAATAGATATATCATCAAAAAGCTCATCTGATGAATATAAATCTTGAAGAAGACAGTCAACAATCTTCATACAATAGTAATACTGTATGAAGGTCTCATCTTAAATAATCAAGTCTACAGTCTGCAGCAGATGACTCAGTTCACTGTGAATAATTATCTTTAACACAGAATCTGCATTCAATTCAATTGAGATGATAAAATGTGAGTGAGCAGTTCTGTCACATGGTAAAAGAACAGCTGCAATGTCAGAGAAAGTTATACAAAGAACTGTTTTTTCACCTGCATGTAGACAGCTATAGAGAGCTCTGTAAAGAAATATTTTATCAGTGTCACTGAGATCTTGTATAAAATAGTGAGATAGCTGTAATTCTATTGCAGCTAGAATTGAATTATATACATGATATTGATCATCATTCAACTGTATCTGCAGAGCATTTGCAGTGATGATTTTCTCTATAAGATCATAGTTCTGCTTCTCAAAAAGTAGCTGGTTTTCAATAAGATTATCTCATACAGAGCTGCATACAGACAGGTCAAAGTCTGTAAGAATCTTGTTAAACTTATACAGAAGCTGCTGAATAAGAAATAGATTATAGTTATAATACAGATCTTCTGCAGAAGTATTGATAATACAGTCTGAATTCATCTGACACAGTCAATATGAAAGATTATCACAGAGAGTATGATGAAAATATGCTCAGAGAGCAGGTGCATCTGCAATATTTTCATGAATTAATATAGTAGTGAATACTGACTGCATGCAGTGAGCAGTTATAAATACAACAGTAGATTTAAATGTAATGATTCACTCATTATCATTATGCAGAAGATCAAGTGTCTGACATGCTGTATAAAATGTAGAGTGACAAACATCATTCACTGTTCACAGAGTCTCAAAGCTCAGTGAATCATGTATATTAATAAGAAGCAGGTGTAAAAAGAACATCTTATTATTATATGAACTGAGATAAGATAGATGATTAACTGATCTTCTCTTCACACAGCTCTTTTATCTCTGATTATGTTTGTCTCAAATAAAATGACAGAGAAATTCTTGATAGAGATACTAAATATTCAGATATGAATTATTATAGATAAAGAATGTTATGAACTTAAATATGTTATTTATCAAATGTTCAGTAATATATTCATAATCTTCATATTTAAATTCAGGGAAGTAAATCATCTAATGATCTGATAGATGAATAGATAATATCTCAACAGATGAAAACTTCTGATGCATATGAAATATGAATATATGTTATACAGTCTTAGTTGAGCTGATATAACACTCATGCAGTTGAATATCAATCTCATTATTGAAGTCAATGATATGAAGAATAGTGCAGTTCAGGCCCTTGTAGATGTATTTATTAATATATTTAACAACTTCAACAGAGGCACAGATCTCTATGTTTATATATGCTTTATATATACAGATAAGATAGAAATTGTATAAAATAACTCATTGATTGTCAATTATAATCTTGCTATTATTAATAGTATGTTTAAAGAAGATAGATATATCATACTTCTGTCTGTACAGAGAATAGTCATTCTCTTTAACAGCTGTAACACTCTGAAAAGCTTTGAAGAAATGTTTTGTACATCTGCTATTCTCATGACAGAGGCTCATCCCACCAGTATTACATGAATTATGAATCATGAATTTATAAATCAATTCACTCAATCTGTCTATATTCTCAGCAGGGCTTGACAGCTCTGAAGATATAATATTGTTAATTGTATCAGACTGCAAAAATCACTCAGAGTTCTCTATTCAGATTAACAGATGTATATGAGACAGTTCATGTTTTTAATATTCAATTATTCATATTCTGATTAACATCAGCCTGAACAGCTGTCTGAATTTGAGAATGTTAAGAAAATGAAAAATCTTCATTGTAAAAACATATACAATCAAATCTGAGCAGTTCACTGCAGCCTGATCAGAGAGTAACTCACAGATAATCTTCTCTCACTCAGGATTAACTGTGAATATAATGAAAAGAATTGAACATCTGTAGTTGAAGATAATTGTCATAGAATTCTGAAACAGTTTATACATAAAATGTTCACTGTCTATATAAGAAGCAGGTAATATCACACAGTGATCAAGCTGCTCATGATTTGTATCACCTCTCTGTATGACATCATGTAGATCACTATATTAATCTGCATGAATTTCCAGTTAGTGAGCATGAACTCAGTTCAGCTGCTGTTCATCAACATTCATATAGATATTAACTAAATATTATTGAAATAGATTTTCAGTCTGAAAAAGAGAAGTATCAACATTATCTTATTGAAAAAGATTATATACATGTTACATATACAGAGTCAGGCTACAGCTGCTACACTCATCTTCATTCTTAACAGTATTATCAACATCATTATCAGAGCTGTTGCAGATGAGTGAGAGGTCTGTAAGCACATTCATATTAATATGTCAGCTGTGATCTCTGAAAGGAAAAAGTAGAACATAATGCAGTGAAAGATATAATGAACTGTGAGAATCAATATATGTGAGATTCAGGTCAGCACTGAGCTGTCATAGTGTCAGAAGAATGGCATGAAGGTGACAGACACTGCCAGAAGTGTTCTGTATAACAACTACAATCTCAGAGGCAGTAAGCAGATTCTCACAGTGGTGATCATTGCCTGCCTTCAGCTGTAGAAAAGGGTTCAAACTGACATGCATGGCAGAGCTGTTCTGTAGTATCTCTCATATGAACTGGTAAAGCTGAATAAAAGAATTAACCTTGGGAATATTAGCAGTTATGACAACATAATAGAAGAATGTGGAAAAGTAACAACATAATAGAAGAATGTGGAAAAGCAAATGAACAAACAGTAAGCAATGCAATACAGATATGATTAAACATGCTAGAATGTATAACAGAGTCTGCATCATTTAAAATACCCGCATCAAACTGTGGATTGTGAATTCACATTTGTGCAAAACAGACATTCTCACCTGGCTCAGGCTCTAACAGTTCTTGCAGGTGATAGAGTTCTCCCTGTATTTGAAATGGCACCGGGCCGCTAGTAGCTAGACTGGCCGCTGGGACCATGAATTTCATGTTTGATCTCATTTGGTCTGATCCCATACATTTCTTGATGTGAATCCCGCTGGGACTGACTATCAAAAAAACATGTAAAGTGACTATATATCAGATCTTAAAATGAAACCATGACTTGAAAAAAATAAGAAAGTGGTTTCATTTGATCTCATTTAGTCCCATTCTTAGCATAAAGTTACTATTTTTAGACATTTTAAGGTTTTTTTTAGACTATTTTTAATTTTTTAAAAAGTAACACTTTTTGATAATACTCAAATAAGATTTAAAGTCATTTAAAGCAATAAAAATAATTTAAATTGAGAAGTGAAAATCATGGGTTTCATTTGAAAAATGTGATAAGAGTAGACAGTAAGTCTCACTGAGACAGTATGAAACTACTATCTAATGTTAAAACTGTGTAATGGGATCAGTCGAAATTGGTAATGAGACTATCAAAAAATCTGGTCCCTGGTTTCAGACACGGTCACACGGTCAGTCTACTAGTAGTCAGGTGACCCAGGCATAGATCCTGCTTGCACTTAATAGATGTAAATGCCAGGACAGAGTTGTAGTTCTGAATATGCTTACAGAAATGCTTCATATCAGCTGTATTATCATTAAACAGCTCATATAGCTCTTGTGAGAGTTCTTTGACAGACAGCAGTCTTACAGCATCTCTTGCATCAATACACTAGATTGATCAAACCGCTCCACCACGAACTCGCTCGATTTTTCGAATAAGAACCTGCCGATAGATCCATCGAAAAGCCCTCGATCATACGAGCATTTTGACCCCATCGCCGACCGCATACCCCGTGTGGTGGTGGAGTTATCCAGCCAAACGTGAACCAGACGTTGTTCGAAACTCCTGTGTGGGATTATCCCCCATTCTCCCCTATCACACCACAACCCCGGGCCAGATTGCCATACAAATTGTAAGGTGAAGAGACCTAGCCATATGCGCCAATCTTCTCGATTTTGGAAGATCCCTGATCTGTAATTGTGGAGATATCTGAGAAGCAACCTCCGTGAAAACCCTGTCCATCTTTGATGTTCCAAAACACCAACACCAAGTCCCACCCTCGTACCGCCCTTCCCAATCTGGCCCATCCCCGGCAGAAAAATACAAAAAGATACCTCAGCGATAATATCAAGCACATAACCAACAGCCACTTCTGAAGTGCAACCTCCGTGGTCTGTCTTCAGTGTATCTAGACTAGACTGACCGTGTGACCGTGTCTGAGACCAGGACCAAACTTTACAGTTGTCATGTTGCCTAAAAGCATTACTTCTGATCATGGTTTGTATTCATCATATTAATCTCAAATCATGTTATTTCAAATATTAAAGATCTCAGATTCACTTTTCAAATAAAAATCTAGTTCTGAATAAAGAATATATTTGAATTCTTAGTCACAATTTCATTCTGATCTCATTATTAAGAATGATATTAAATGAGATTATGAAATCACTTCTCACTTACATAATATCATAATATAGTACTCATTTGTTGAAAATTCAATAGAGAGTGTTATCAAATATTATCACTTTTCTGAATATAAATCATAATTCATATAATTTTAATTATGAAAAAAATATAAAATATAAAAAAAAACAAAAAACAAAAAATAAAATAAAAACAAGAAAAAATCAGAATGAAAAAAAAAAAAAAAAAAGAGAAAGAAAAAAAACAAAAAAAAGAAAAGAAAAAGAAAAAAATAAAAAATAAAAATAAAAAAAATCAAGATCACAGGGCTGCAGTACTCTTAAAATACTCACTTCTCAGAGTTTTTATAATATTTATTATCAACTGTGTATCTCTCACAGTGAGAGTAACACAGCTATAATGAGTTATTATCTTAATATTATCTAATAAATAATCAGTATATATCTGTATAAATGTGAATATTTAGAAAATATACACTTAAAAAGTGTGGTCAGAATGAACTCTGCTGTCACTTGAATAACATCAAGAATAGAATACTGAAATCAATGATTTCTCTTATTGATTTCATAGACAAGATATGTAAAAATAATCTTGAGAAATATAAGATTCTCTGACTTCTGATAAAAACAGATCTTACAGAGAGACTCTATTTTCATGATATCAGAGACTGAGTGTTATTAAAAAGTGTTACTTTCATATAATATATATGCACTTACTGTAATGATTCACTCTCTGCACATATGACTGAGAGTTATAGCTTTCTCACACTGCACAGCTCTCTCTGAGATGCTGCTGTCAGTTTGCAATTCATGCAGTCTTTCAGTTCAGTATACACTGTATATATACAGCTCTGCATGCTGGGACTGTGTTGATTATTATAGTCTGATATAATACTTGCTTTTCACAGATCATGTTTTGTTTAAAAGAGAGAGAAGAAAGATATGACTGTGATTTTATTAAGAGAGAATGAATAATTAATAATATTGAATATAATTTAATTCTTCTGTATTTAAAATTTGATTAGTCTATACTCTTCAATTTAAGGGTTTCTAAGAGTGTTTTAATAGTTTTTATATTAGCTTGAACTTAGTGATGAGTTGAAGAAGAAGAGAAAAGAGAGAAGAAAGAAATGAGAATAACTTATCTTTATAATATGAAAATAGAGAATTGCTGTAATCATTCTCTCTAGTAATAAAGATCTGTTTTCTGCATGTATCTCTGATATAGATTATATAATAACTGTATATAAAGAATATTAACAGTGCATGTATTGAATGAAGATGATGTTGCTATGCAACACTGTAGCTGTTTTCATACATCTCTGAAACCTGTTAATATTTTCTTTTTCTCTTTATATTTAATAAGTCAGTAATATATTTCAATGCACTCTTTCTTTCATCATTATTATCATTATCATTATTATTACTATCATCATCATCATTATCATCATCACTATCATTATTATTATTACTATTATCATCATCATCATTATCATTATTATTATTATTATTATTATTATTATATCATTTCTGACTGTCTCTTCTGTCTTCATCTCTCTTCAACACTTACTGAAATCAATCATGTCATTTCTCTTCAAATATTCTGCGGTTCTGCAGATCATCAAGGTGCGTGAGTACTATCACAGATTGAAGAAAGAGAAGAAGAAGATGTTTAAGCAAGAGAAGACAGATTGTAAGACATATTATAATGTCTTGAAGAGACTCTGTAAGAGAGTAGAATAATAATGATTTTAAGTAACACTTCTGATAGATTTAGACTGAACTAAGTATAGAAATAATACAGATGACATCACCTGTGAGAGATTGAAGAAGAAGATAGTGAAGAGTCTTATACAGCAGCAGTGAGATCAGGAGAAGTTCTGAGAATAATTTGAGTTCAAGATAAAGAGAGAGAGAGAGAAGAAGAGTATTACTGTAAATAAGTAATAACAGAAGAAGATTGAGAGAATATTGAAGTAAGAGATAAAGAAGTTAAAACTAATAAGTTTTTTATTTATTAAGAGATAATAATTTTTGATAACACTTCTGTTCTCTAATTGATTAGCAGAAGCTGACAGAGAAGAAGAAGATTAAGACCTTATTCAGGTCTTGAATGTGCTTCATGATTCAGAATATTAAGAAGACAGCTCTGCTCTCTGAGCATGTCAATCTGTTTATCACTGAGATGAAATCTGAGACAGCAGATCAGAAAATGCAGGATTTTGAGATGCAGATTGACCTGGCTGAGAAGAAGCAGCAGAAACCCTTCTCTGAGAAGACAGTGAAGAGAGATTTTAAGATGATTATCATCTCAGATAAGAAGAAGAAGAAGAAGAAGAAGAATGAGAAGTGAATTATAAAGAATAATAAGAAGAATGAGAAAGAGAAGAAAGATAATAAGTAGAAAAAGTTTTTTTCTTTTTACATTAATTAGTTGTAAGTTCATAATTATTAATAATTAAAATTGATTTTGAGTTTTCAAAAATTATTGTACAAGTTATAATCAAGTCAGGAATAATATATATATATATATATATATTTAACTATCATGATTCACAAATCACTATAATATATAAGTATCAACATTTTTTCAACATTGATATTCATAATATTAATATATTTTTAATGATATTATCTGATAATATAATTTGATAACACTCTCTTTTATAATATTAATATATTTCAAGAAATATAACAGAGATTAATCAAGATTGTTTATTTACTTTTATACATTGATAATATTCAATCTGAGTTAGTACTAAAATTATAACTAAGCTAAGAAACAAGATTATTTTCTCTTATATTAATTCTTCTTACACACATCAGTAATCAGTTATTGAAAATAAATTATTATCTTTCTTAAATTATTATTATATCTTCTGAATTCACTTCTTTCACTTCTTTTACTTCTATTGAAGATTCACAAACTCTTCAAGAAATCACTGTAAATTATAAAGTCTATGTTGTTTATAATTCAATATAGAATACTCTCTTTCAATTATAATAAATAATTACTTCATTCTTCATATCTGATTCCAGGTTATGAAATTTATGAAAAACTCAACACAAACACTGAGATGAACTATGAAATAATTATTAATAGATTATATTACAGATTACTGAAGAGTTATCTCTCTGCTACAATTACTATAACTTTATTCAGAAACATTCATTATAAACTGATTATAGCTCTGAAGGAATTTTCTAACATCTGAAGTTATCAGAATACAGATAATAAAAGAAAAATAATCAGAAAATTACTACTGAGCTGATAAGTTACTCTATCAGATAATAATTTTTGATAATACTAACTTTCTAATTTGAAGAAAATCATTTGAAAATGATCATGTATCAGTACTCTGATTTCATAACTCTTATCTGATAACTTCTATGAATAATTACTTTGTATATATATATCTCTGAATCTTTCTCTTCAATCAATTGAAAACTCTGAATTCTGAACACTTCTTCAAATGCTTAATTTAAATCTTTATATTTCATATCAATTCTGTCTTCAGTTCAACCTTGAGACACACTACAAAGTCAATATATAATATCTAGAATCAGAGTTGAAGAATTATTAAAGAGTGTCTCTTACAGTGAATACATGAACTAGTATAAATAATCTTACATTTATTTGAGTTATATGTTATTATATTGATGAGAACTGAACTTATTAAGAGATATTAATTGAATTTGAATCATTGATCAGTAGTCATACTGAGGATTATATAGCAGAGATATTAATAACTGTGATTAAAAATGACTATTGAGATATTAATCTCAGTCTTCTTACAATTATAACTGATAATGCTGCAAATAACTACCCTATAATGAAGAGCTTAGAGTAAAAATTGA